CGTTGTCGGGCGCGGCCGCGCCAATGAAATTGCCGCGGCGGAGGCCAAGCCGCGCGAGAACACAGGAGTCCAATTGGCCGCGTGGGAGGGCAAGATGAAGCCGCATCCTCTTGCAGATGACGTAGTTGCCGATGGAGTCCACGTGGCACTTGGGGCTGCAGCCAAACATGCACCCGCGACGAATGGGTTGACCGCGTAGCCGATGCGAGGTGGCCCATCCACCAGCCAGAGTTTTCACCACAGGCCAGATTTGCGAGGGCGGAAGACGAGCGACTTCAGCGCGAAAGCGCCGCCACGGTCCACGGCAAGAGCGGGCAACTGCAGGGGCATTATCATTTCATTGTTGTAGCCGTAGTCCTCGGTGGCGCCCACGTTGGGGTAGGGGATGGCGTCGGCGGGGTTATTATCGACATCCGCCTCAAGGACAGCGACGGCGCGCATGGTGCTCGCCCACGGCGCTGCCGAACTGCGCCTGAAGCGCCGACGACCCGGCGCCACTGAGGGCCCGTGCGCGATGAAGACGAGTGAGCGAGGAAGAATTCCAGGCCCCCACGCAGCTGCGCCGAGCTCGGGAGCGAAAAAAGTCATCAGATTCCCCACGAAACAAACTTGCAAACTGCGGCGCCGTAGTAGTCGGAGAACGCGGCGATAGCACCAGTCACTCCAGTCGGCCTCATTGGAGATGTCTCCGTCGTCGGCGTAGAGGTTCGGCAGCCAGTCGGATGCCCAGCGGCGCAGGAGTTCGGCGATGATATCGAGCTCGGCCCTGGCCCCGCGGCGATCATGGCCACCATCGCGCGGCGCGGAAGGCGCGGTATCAGCTGTGGATATGCTTGGCTGGGCGACCGGGGACTCTTCCGCGCACGAGTCGCCCGCCCGGTGGCGCGAGATTGGCAGCAGCTGGAACCAGCTTCGCAAGCGCATAGCAATCGCGATGTCGAAGTTACCCTCGTAGAGCATGCGCTGCAGCATGTGGGCGAACGTGGATCGCGGCGATTTGCGAATAATATCGCGGCGCGGTCAGCGGCAGCATCGCGTCGAGCACGGCGAGGAAGGCGCGCATCAAGAGCAGCGAAGCGAGCCTGTCGGTGACCACGGCGCAGATAGTCATGGGCACGCTGGGAATCGCGGAGCTTGCACGTCATGGCCTTGGAGATGGAGCCTTTCCCCGTGGGGCAGCTGTGTCCACGCGCAGCACGTTGAAGGCGCCGGGCCGCAGATGCGTCCGATCTCCAGCAGCGAGCACACCATTTACCTTGCACCACTCGAACCAAGGGAAGATGGCGTTCGGCAGCAGCGCGCAGGAGGGCACGCATGCGGGGCCAAGAGGTGACAATGGAAGTAGCCGCACGCCAACTGGTGGCGCCCATGAAAACTTCGACGCCCATCGGCATCTCAGCGCCAGCCCAGTTCTTCACACAGAAAATGTTAAGCTTTTTCACGGCCGATGGCGCAGAACGGATGATCCTGTGAAGCAGGTGACTCTCTCTAGTCAGAACCACTTCCGGCGCTGGAAAAGGCTGCCCGACGCATGGAAGACAAGCGCTGGCCGAGGTGTCGTAGCGCAGAACGTTCTGCTGTGTAGGAGCGCGCGCCCCTCCAAGCACGCGAGAGCGGCGGCGCCATTTAGATGCCGAAGCAGACCTTTGAGCGCGGTCATCGGCGCCAGGACCAATGCACACGCCGAGGTACCTCGCCATGTCGTCGATCCTGAAGAGCGCCCAGTCCTCGTGAATGTCGCGCAACGCGTCGCGCAGCTGATTGATAATAAAGGGCTGGCAGTCGGTCAACACAGGCACCAGTGCACACTTGCGCTGCTGTAGACGCAGTCCAGCATATTGTTCAGCAGCTCGCACATGAGGTAGGAGTCCAAGGATATCACGAAGCCAGGCTAACACACATCCGAAGTCACCGGTGCACGCGCCGGCCACGCCTCGACCAGCCCGAGCGAAGCGGCTGCGAATCCCGCGCAAGATCGCGTCGAAAATGAGACCCCAAATGGCGCCACTTAACGGACAGGCCTGCGCGACGCCACTTTCAGCAACAAGTAGAGGGCGACGGACGCCGCCGAGCTCGAGGAAGGCAACGGGCACGGTGTAGAACGCGCGCAGGAGCACGAGGAAGTTCCCAGAGATCCCCCCCCTAAGAACTACCCAGAGCCGAGAAAAAAGCAGGCTGGGGAAGACCGCGGCGATGTCAATGCTAAGGCAGCACGGCAGGTTCGCGTCTGTGTTGTCACCCATGCTGCAGAAGCGGCTGTAGGCGTCGACCTCGACAACGTTGTTATGAAACTGCCGCCCAGGAACAAATTCAAGTTGAATTTCAAAAACTTGCTGAACGAGCGGGTGTAGTTTCCTGTTAGCAGCCGATGCGACTATCTCGACATCAGCGCTTGTCACGGCAAGGGGTCGAAGTTGTTCAGGGGCACGGTAACATTCAGCAATCCCAGCTGGTTCGTCACCTTTGGGAAGCATTACAAGAAGCGAGAAGTTCCATTCGAAGGGAGCAGGGAGCCCAGGGTTGACGCGGTCGGCGAGCACGCCCAGAATCTCGAAGCTGCGAGGCGTAGACGACCGCGCCTGGTAGGGTAGTCCGTCAGGCCCAGGAGCCGAACCATTCGCATGTTCATTCGCGTCGTGGAGGTCCTCAGCGGCGGGCAGCGCGATGCCCGCATCTGGATCGGGGGCGAAGACCGCGCCAAGGTAGGACTTCATGTTTTCATGACGTTGACGGGCTTGTCCTCGAGGACCAGGGCCCAGTGCGCAACGGTTGCAGAATGCACGTCGGCTGGCGTCTCGGCGAACGCGTCGTCGGAGACCTGGGAGATGCGGACGCCAGCAAGGGCCCGACACTCGGCGAAGGGTTGTCAGAGCTCCCCTCGTCGGAGAACGGCGCCTGCTCGCACCGGCCGCCCATCACCTCGCGGCCGTCGGCGTCGACGGCGCGCTTCTCGGGCCTGGGCGGCAGCGCGAACGCCTCGCTCGTCAGCAACTGCAGCGCGGGCCCCGGCCGCGGCCACGGCGAAGCGGGCGGCGTCGGCGAAACTGACAGTAACGAAACGCACGCCGTCGACGCCGTCGCGCTGAACGCGGGGGCGCTCGGCGCCGAGGCGCGCGCTCGCAATCAAGAGCTGGGCCGCCTTGCCGCTCTGGCACCAAGCAACCTGGCGACGCCGCGCGCAGGAGCTCCAGGAGGCAAGCGCCGGAGAGCACCCCGAGCCAGGACAGCAGCGCAAGTCACGTTCGTCTTGAGGGCCCTCCATTTGCCAACGGAAGCGAGCGCATTGCAGTCGGCGCCCACTGAGAGCTCATCGACGAAGTGATCGCAGAAGCTGGACTGGAAGAGCAACGCAGGAAAGCCCCGCCCAGCGCGCGGACGCTGAGCGCGGCGGGAGCAAAAAACGAACGCACAGCAGAAGGCGATCGCCAGCCGGTTTGCCACGCCGTTCGAGCGGAGAGTCGCCCACCACCATGATAACCCAGGCGCGGCAGATTGTGGGCCTCGAACGGTTCGAGGAAGCGATCGACGGTCGACTCCACGTGATTCGCGCAGCACCTGCGGATGGTGGCAGGTGCGCAGATCTCAACCATGTCACGGATGATCTGCTTCCAAAACGCGGGCCGATACTGGTAGCGCTCTTTCGCGCGGGCGTCAACAGGTCGAAGTAGATTGCGCGCAAGTTGTGGGCTACGTTGAGGTCTCCGAGAACGAAGGGAAGATTGCGGCCTGGATCGGCAGCAACCTCATCAGCAGCGGCTTGCCACGCACGCCTGAAAATCTGGCGGCTCTCAGCCTTCAGATCGCGGTTATGCACGTTGAAGTAGATATGTTAAAAACGTCGCAGAGCGTCACGAATGCGGAGTTCGGCGACGCGACCGGGGATGACGCTGGAGAAAAAGGATTCGGGCCGCAGCCAGTCGGCACGAGGAAAGCAAGCCCACCCGCACGAGAGTTCGCACCAACACCAGCGGCGACGCTTGCCGAGGTGTCGCGGACGTCGGGCAGGCTGCTCAATGAGACGCGGTACTTTGAGGCCGTGGTGTTGGCGAACATGCGCAGCATCTGCTCGTCGCCGCGGACGTCCTGGGTCGCGATCAGCGACTTCTTGGCCATGTAGGGGGGGGGGGGGAATGGAGCGCATACTGGCGCGCTGGGCCAACTGGGAGCGCGAGAGGGCCTGCGCGCCCCAGCTGGCGACGGAGTACTCGGAGGATGTAGACGGGAAGCCCACGGTGCCCACTTGCTGCTAAAACCACGACACAGCAGCAGCGGGGCCCGCGAAGGCGGCGGCGAGGGCTTCGGCGATGGTGGACTGCATAACGGGAGGCAAACAGGCACGCTCAGCAGCATCAGACCACTGTACCCAGGTATCTTCTTCAGGGCGTGCGCCCACCAGCTGGCGCACGATGGCTGCGCCGTCTACCGAAATGTGGCCATCCGCGCGGTGCACCGGCGGGTTGAAGGTGGGCTTGGCGTTCACGACCAGCTTGGCGAGCTTCTGGAGTTAGACCCCCTGCCGCACGAGCCTTGGTCCCTTAACAGCGCTTATGTAGAGCGGGAGAGATGCTCCCTCATGGGCGATGGAGTACGTCCGCCGGTGCCTGCTAATACGAAGGTAATGATGTACAGCTTGAGCACGAGGAACACCGATAGCGCTCACTCCGAGGACGGTGATGGAGGCGCGCTTGCTGGGCGTGGCGTTGTTCGAGCGCACCATGGAAACGTTGATACCAGCTGCGGCAAACCATTCCTGGATGGTGTCCTTGAGTGCGGCTTGCGTGATGTCCACCGTCGACCCGCACCAGAATGTGCCGATGTGCTAATGGCGGCCCCACGATCCCAGGCTGGCGACGTCCATGCTGGGAACTTGAGCTTCAGCGTGGGCGATCGCGGTCTTGAGCGAGTCCACGGCGCGGTTAAGGCTACGTGAGGCGTGCTCTTTCCGGGACGAGCCCAGGCGCTGCCTGAGGGCGACGATGTCATCTTCTGTTTTGTCCTACCGCTGGTTGAGGGTGGTCGAGATCTTGGCGACGTGTTCGAAGAACTTCGTCTGTGCAGAGGCGCAGACCTGTTCGGCGGTGGCCTTGAACCTGGTGGAGGAAGCGGCGACCTGCGTTGCGAGGAGCTGATCCAGCTCGTGCTTGAACTCGTCCAACTTGCCTCGCTGAGCGGCTTCATGCCAGGGGTCCTTGCCCAGGTTGGACTGTCGAAGCGACCGCTCGCGACAAACTCGGTCGGCTCGTTGGGGAATGTCCACCGCGTCAGGCATGTAGCCGGCGTCGTCCGAGTTGGCGAGGCACCTGCCGGTGCAGTCAAGGAAGGAGCCGCTGCACCCCACACAAGAATTCAGAATGAAATATGGAGAGAGATTTAAAACATCTCGAGAAATGGCCTTGGAACGAGGGTATGCCGTGAAAGCCTGCGGGCACTGTGCCCGCAAACATTGGGATCTTGAGCCAAAACGGTTACGGAGGATGAGGAGGAGGCGGAGGAGGAGGAGGAGGAAGAGGAGAAGGAGGAGGAAGAGGAGGTGGAGAAAGAAAGGGAGGAGGAGAATAAGGAGGAGGAGAGGAGGTGGAGGAAACGGATGATGATGATGATGATGATGATGATGATGATGATGCTGCTGATGATGATGGTGATTATGTTGGTGGTGGTGATGATGATGACGATGATGTGGATGATGATGATGATGATGATGATGATGAGGATGATGATGATGACGACAATGTGATGATGCAGATGATGATGATGATGATGATGATGATGATGATGATGATGATGATGATGATGATGATGATGATGATGATGATGATGATGATGATGATAATGATGAGGAGGAGGACGAGGACGAGGAGGAGGAGGAGGAGGAGGAGCAGGAGAAGCAGGTGGAGGAGGAGACGACCTCCTCGGCTGCATCTGCGCTGGTCTGGGGTGCCCCGCCTGTGGGCGGGCAGCACCCACAATGCGGGTGGGCGCTGCACTCGCACGCCGTGTACTCAGTCGTGCCCGCGCCCCCGTCTTCCCCGGCCCCTTTCGCTCCCCGTCTCCCTCCCCTCACACTCCTCATCCTCACAGCCCCCTCCCTCCTCCCCCCCTCCCCCCCCGCCCCCCCCGCTACCCGTCCCCCTCTCCCCGCCCCTTCCCCCCACTGGGCGGCGGAACACCCGCGGCGGGCCTGGCCGCTTCAGTCTCGAACGGGTCGTCGCCGCCCCTCGGGGGTGGGGACACGACGCGACTCGGGCGGCGAGCGCCTCTGCTGCTCCTCCCCGTTCGTGCTCCTGTTCCTGTTACATGTTGTTTTTTCTTCCTCCTCCTCCTCCTCCTCCTCCTCCTCCTCCTCCTCCTCCTCCTTCTTCTCGTCATCGTCACCCGACCAGCATCAGAACCCGCATCATCACTCATCAGCATCGTCAACATCGTCACCACCACCATCATCAACATCAGCAGCGGCAACATCATCTCCAACACCACCATCATCGCCAACATCAGCATTACCATCGGCATCATCATCATCATCATCATCATCATCATCATCATCATCATCATCATCATCATCATCATCATCATCATCATAATCATCATCAGCATCATCATCATCATCATCATCATCATCATCATCATCATCATCATCATCATCATCATCACCATCATCATCATCAAAATCATCCAAATCAGTTGCAGCAGCATCATCATGAGCAGCATCATCATCGCCAGCAGCATCATCATCACCACCACCAACAGCAGCATCAGTGTTGTGGCAGTGCGACGATGCGTGGTCGAAGGTGGATGCTTCAATCCAGCGCACAACGTAACGTGGGAGTGCATGAACGGGTGACGCGTGTCGGATCGCGTGCTGAAGCGTGCGAAGTGTAGCGGTTGGTCGCTGACCCATACAGTGCGCGGTGTCAATGTCCAGTACGAGCGTGAGTGCAATTGTGTGCCGTAAGGTAGCGATACGAATAGCAGAGATTTAAAGTGAAGGGCGGCGGCGTGCAACGAAGTGGACATACATGCTGAACAGCAAAGAAAATAGTAGCGAAGGGGGCGAAGGGAAGCAATGCGAAGCGACGAGCGAAGATGCGAAGCCACGCGAGGCGGGACGTTACAAGGCGAGGCGAAGCGAGGCAGAGCTAGGTGGAGTGAAGCAAAGCGAGGTGAAACAACGAAAGATAGGACGAAATGACCAGAGGCAAAGTGAGGCGACGCCAGGCGAAGCGAGGCACAGCGCGCCCACGTGAACTGGAGCAACGTGACCCAACAGTGAGTTTATAATACTGAAACAAACAAAGAGAAAGAAAACGATTGACAACAACAACAACAACAACCCGAAAAAACGGATGACGAAGCGAAAACGCAAGCCACGCAGCAGCGGGAGTGCGAGCGCAAGACGGAAATCACACTGAAAGCGAAATTTGGCGGGGATGTCGACGGAAGCGAGACTGGCCAAAAACCGAAGTGGGAAAAACGCAAGTGGAAACGGAAGTGGAAGCGGAAGATGAGGCGGGATTTGGCATGGAAGCTGAAGCGGAGGCCGAATGGACGCGGAAGCAGAAGCGGAAGCACAAGCGAAACGCAAACATCAGCACTTGTTCCACAACTGGCAAAACCGGCCTGAGGCTATCCGCCGGCGGGAAGCGATCAATGCCAGCAGGCGCTGTGGCCACGGAGGCGGGGTCCGCTGTGGCAGAGCGCGCAGTTGCAAGGACAGCTCACAATGCGGCAGCCACCAAACGCCTGGCGACCGAACCCATCTCTGCACCGTCGCCGAACCTGTAGCGAGGAAAGGAAAGGCCTGGTTAGATTGTTCTTCTCGACGTAGTCCGCGATGCCTTGGCCCCACCCCGCGAAGAGGAACGCCATGTCACCGCGGGCGTCGACGTTGGCGGCGATCTGCTCCATCAGGGCGACGAACACCGCGTCGCCCTGCGCCCCGAACTGGGCGGAGCAGAAGGCCAACAGCGCCTCGCCAAAGGTTCGCGTGCCGCCACCGAAGAACGTCACGCGCGATCAGCGCGACGCGCTCGGAGACGCGTTCGTTGACCTCTTGAAGGTGCTTCGCAGCATCGAACGTGGCACCGGCCGTCTCCATGAGCTGCTTCATGCCGGGCGACTTGAGCAACGTGTGGCGCGGGTTGGGCTCTTTGAACACATACCGGAGATTCGCGACGCCTGTCGCGAGTGAACTGTCGCTGTCGAAGTTCCGCAGGAGGCGCCCGTGCTCTGAATTGAAACGACGAACAGCCATCTCCCGAGAGAGCGTCAAACAGGAGATCTCGCACCCCCCAACCGTCGCCGCGACGGAGGCGAAGAGCGCAAGCATACTGCGCCGATCGGAAAGTTCCGCAATTTCGCCACCGCGCTCGCCGCGGCAATCTGGGGCGGCGCGCGCAGGATAAGACTCGCGGGGCCCGAGGGCGGACGGGGGCGATGTCGCGAGGGCAGAGTCGGCGCGCTGATGGGCAGCCCAACACCCAGTTTGGCCGGAAGGGCCCGGTACAATGCAAAGGCAGAGACTACCCCCCGCCCGGGGTCGCGGGATCGGGCTCCCCTTTCCCAATTTCAAAGTTTTAATCCCAAACGGTGCGCTGACCCGAAAATGAGTAAACGACATAGGACGTCCTCGAAAAAAAAAGCTTTCGGGTTCGGTCATACGACGACCCGAAATATTTACCGGCCGACCTGAAAGTAGCCAAATCCTATCGGACTTGCGCCACGATGAAATTTCGGGTCCGGTTCGAACGACCCGAAAATGTCAAAACCGCCGATGACCCCTTGCAAAAAACATCGTTTTGGAGATCTTCGGGTCCACTCCGAAGAAACCGAACATGGGCAAACCGCTTCGAACTTCCTATCAGTGGTTCGGGGCCTCGTCCGAAGGAGCCGCCGATGGGCAGACCGCTCAGGATGGACTTCCTGCGCAAGAAACGGCTTCCCGAGTGAGCCATTGTCAACGGGAACCGGGAATGCGCCCCGCGCGGGATCGGGGTTCGCACGGGGGAGCGGCTGCTCTCGCCTGTCCAGGGGGCATGCATTGCCGCGCCCCTCCAGCATAGCGTTTGCGCTGCATTCGCGCGGCGCCGCGCCTCTCAAGTCGGAATGAACTTTCGGAGCGCCGATGTAGTTACAAGAGCAAACGCCGACACAAATGGAGGCGAAATCGCATGGCAGCAGGGAGGTGGGCAGCGGCGACTGGGGGCTGGAGTAGGAGTGGGAATTGGCGGGCATTTGAACGGGCACGAAAGCGAAAGCGCAAGTGAAAGTATGATTTAGAGTGGGCGCGGGAGCTAACGACGAAGCAAGAATAGAATGGAAGCAAAGGCCGGGGCGAAGTGCAAACGAAAATGAACGAGAAAGCGCCAGCGCAAGAACAAATGAAAACGAAGAAAAACTGGAAGCGGGGGGGCAAAAGCGGAAGAAGAAAGTAGCAATGGAGCGGCCTTGGAAGTGTGGCGGGAAGAAGTGGAGTGATATGACGCGCAATGTCTGCGCAAAGTGACGCGAATCCAAATCGGGAGCGCCAATGGTTACGATGTGGGGGTGGAAGCGGTGTGGCTCTGAAGTGGCGCGACGCAAAGCCAGGGAAGGTGCACCGAGATGACGTCAAGTAGAAGCAAAGCAACTTGAGGCGTCATAAAGCGAAGTCGAAACGAAACGAAATGCGATGGCACGAAGTGAAGCGGAATACAGCACCAGCGCAGCGAAGTGAAAGGAGCTGGACTGGGGGCGAAGTGGCGTGAGCTGAAACGAAACAAAGTCATGCGAAATGAACCGAAGGGAAGCGCAGCGGGGTGGAGTGGACCGGCTTAAAACGGCGCGAAGTGACGCGCATCGTCGGCGAATAAAACGAAGCGAAATGCAATTATGCATTACGGAGTGGCGGCGCGGTGAAACAAAGCGTAGCACCGAGAAACGAAGTGCAGCGCAGCGAAGTGGAACGGTGGAATAGAGAGAAATGGCGTGACGACAGGTGTACTAAAGTGACGCGCAGTGAAGTAGAGAGAGGGGGGCGAAACGGCAGTAAAGATGCAGAGAAAAGAACATGTAACGAAATAAGCGAAAAAGACAAAATGAGACGAGGTGCCGAAAACTGTACACGTAAACCATTATGGAGCGAAGCGACATGGAGTGGAGTGGAGTGGAGTGGGACGCAATGAAGTAGAACGCAGCGAAGCGAAATTCCGTGGCACGATGCGAAGTGGAGTCGGGTGAGAGGGAGCGGGGTGGGGCGGCGCTGGCAGGATGCGATATTAAGTGCGGCAAACTAGCGTGAAGCCGAAGCAAATCGAGCGATGAGGGGTACAACGGGCGTGAACCAAGTGCAGCGACATGGAGCGAACTGCCACTATGAAGCGTGAGGCCGTCGGGGCAGCGAATGAAGTGTTGGAAAGTTGCGTGAAGTGCCCAGGAACTGAACGGCGTGACAATTGAACGCAATGCAGTGGAGCGAGATACACTGAAATGGTGGGAAATTAACCGACGCCAAATGAAGTCGGTCGGTCGGTCGGTCGAACCCGGCGCCTACACGGCGCACTGGCACATAAAATCAGAAGCCGCGCATGTGAAACCCACTGGGGCGAGCAGCGGGACCCATTGCGAATCCGAACTGAAATCTCCCAGCGGCGGGAGCAGAATTTCCCAGCGCGCACCAGAAGCGCATCACGACTGTGAAACACAAAACGCAGAGCGCTTCACGACTTTGACGCAGAAAACAAAGCGCCCGACTGTGGAGAGAATCACCGCATAAAGCAGGAAGAAGCGGAGGAAGGGAGGCCAGGGGGAGGGAATCAGGAGGAGGGGCGGGGGAACCAGCGCTACATCCCACGTGAAAATACGATGCGGGAGTTATGCAAGCGCATGCATACAGCCTTGTCCCACTTGAACTAGAATTCGTGTCTTCGGCCTTCATCAATCACTCTGCCCAGAAATTTGTGAAAGTGCCAATCGGCGCTGATGATGAGCATTGTGTCGTCCGCGTGAAGGAGGTCACGACATACCAGATACTCCGGCCCCACAATATCTTCACGCTGGCTCGCCATTCGCTTATCTATGTCGACGAAGAGCACGACGCTTTGTACAATTATAGGCAAGTAGTGAGAAAGCGGACACCCTTGCGCGATCCCTGCGGCTTGTGTCCTTTGGCTCGAGTTCCCAGCCGGATCCTTCAATATGAAGCTTCTGCGCTTGTAGATGGACGAAATCATCCGCATGCTATACAAAGGCAGTCCGAATCTTCGTAGGGCACCCAGAAGAGCATATGTCGGATTCGATCGAAAGCTGTTGACCAATCCAGCAGTACTTCAATCAATCGTGGTGTTTTGCCTGTCTGCGCAACTTCGAGCATGCGACGTGCGGTGCTGATGGCTTGCGAAGTGCCTCAACCCGGGCGGAAACCGAACTGGCTCGAACGGAGTATCTGCTCTGCCCCGCCATTTAAAATGCGTTTGTGCCTGATGGAATACATACAGTGAATCAAAGGAAAATGTGGTGAAGTAAAGCATCGCGGAAACAAGTGAAGCGAAGCGGAGTGAAGTGAAGTGCACCACGAAATGAAGCGGGAGTGAACTGAAGTGGAAATGAATACGTACTAATAGCCTTCTGGGCATATGTGATCTAGCAAGTTGGATTATACCCCTCCCCCCCAGTCTTCCCTCTTCGGAAGGGGGGTCTACCCCTCCCCATAACCCCCTCCCTCTGGGTCTGGAAGGGGGCGGTCGCGGGTCGATTGAGCGTTCAAGATGGGCCAAGATGGCTCCAGGACGGGCCCGGCTAGCCCAAGATGGGCTCTAGGATCAATCAAGATAGCCCAACATGATTCAAGGTAGCAGCCATGCCTCCAAGAGGCTTCAAGACCTCCCGAGGACGTCTCCCAGTGACCATGGAGCCTCCCAAGGACGCTCCCGAGAAGACACAACCCTTCCAAACCCGAAGGACGTCAATAATGGCTGCCTTCTGGGCGGTTCGTTTCCGACTAGTGTCTGAGGTATCAAGGTGGATTCAAGATGGCCCAGAGATCCGCAAGAGAGACCGAATGGGGCTTCAAGAGATGGCCCCAGAGCACCCTGGAGCGCCCGAAGAGCTCCCCAAGAGGGCCCCAGGATGCGATGTCTATGTCTCCGACGGCGGGGGGGGTAGTTATCCCCCTCTTCTTCGATAGATGCCCTCGAAAACTGCCCCAAGAGGGCTCCCAAGGCCCAAGCCCGACGGCCTCCAAAGTGGCCCCGGAGAGGGGCCCAGGAGGGCCACAAGATGACACAAGCAAGCTATCGAGAGGCTCCCGTGTCGAAAGACCCACGAGCACATGTGCGGTTGACTCCTGGGCTTGCCCAGGCTGATCCCGATCGTCGGTTTGACGGCCCCTCTTTGCTCCACTGCATGCTCCTGCGCTTCTTGGATCAGTGTTACTCGGCTGGGCCTCGTTTCTGGATGGGCTGGCAGGGACATACGAAGCGTCGAAAATCAAAACGCCATGGAGTGGAGCGCATGTAAGTGCAACGCCGATGAGTGTAGCGCAGACAAGTAAAGTGCAGCTAAGCAATGTGAAGCGAAATAGCGTGAGAGAAGTAGCTTGATGTGATGTAATATGACGCGGGGCGGCGTGAACTAAAAGTGGCATGTAAGTGGATGCGACGTGAAGCGAGGCATGTATAGTAGTGAAGTGTGATGTGAAGTGGTCGTGTGCCACCTCCGTCCTCCTGCTCATCCCTCCTCCTCCTCCTCCTCCTCCTCCTCCTACTCCTACTCCTACTCCTCGTGGTCTTTCTCCCACCCCATTCCCTCCTTCCCTCCCATCCCCCTCTCGTTTCCTCTTCCTCATATTCCTTCCGTCCTGCTCCCTCCTCCTTCCTTCCTGCTCCCTCTGCCCTTCCTTTCTTTATCAAGAGCCCAAGTCACTGATGCGACGGACTCGCACGAACAACCAGCAGTTGGTCAGAAGCCTGGACCGCTTCGTCTAGGGCAACAGCTTAGACACGAAATGGTTGGACTGAATGGACAAGTAACGTTCCCGCTGTCAAAACAACGGTTCGCATGTAGCTCTGACCACGGACACGCAGCTTCGATGTACCACGCAGCTGAGGAACAGCGGCCCTCGCAAGCGCCTCCGTCTGCAACATATCGGCGACCCCAGTCAAGACTTTAGCCCAAGATCCGCGTTCGCCCCACCTCTTCCCTCCTCCCGACATCCCTCTCTCCCTGCATCCTACCTCCCTCGCTACCTTTGTCCCTTCCTCTCCCCTTTCTCCTGTCACACCTTCGGAACATCTGAAAATCCGCAAGACCCGCCGATCGCGTGCGACAACGTTCGGGAACTGGAGAAACCCTCCTCTCCTCTCCTCCCTTCTCGTCATCCTCACCGCCCTACTCCTAGACTTCAGTCGGGCAAGACCTCCTACATGCGCCTCTGGTCAAAACTGAAAAACAAGGTAAACCGATAATCGAACAGAGTCAAACGAGCACGCAGAATCGACTCCAGGCTATGTGTTGCACTAGTCTTGAACACTCCTCCTGTAGAGGGACGTGCCGACTCGGTCCTACGCCTGGACGGCAAAGACGACGACGGCACGACGACGGCTCCTCCTCCTCCTCCAGCTCCTCCTCCTCCTCCGCCTCCTCCTCCTCCTCCTCCAGCTCCTCCTCCTCCTCCTCCTCCTCGTCCTCCTCCTCCTCCTCCTCCTCCTGCGGCCGGAGAGGCCGTCCTCTGGGTGTAGGCCCTCCAGGCGTGAGCCGTCTCGAGCGCCTCTCTGGCCCGCCGCTGGAGGCCGTTCGCTTTGCGCCTTTCCCTGACGTCGTCGTCGTCGTCGCCGTCCTCGTCCTCGTTGTCGTCGTCGTCGTCGTCGTCGTACTCGACGTCGTCGTCCGCGCCTTCGTCATCCTCATCGTCGTCCTCGCCCGCGTCCTCGTCGCCGTCGGAGCAGGCGGCGCGAGGTGAGCGGGAGGAGGAGGCTTCCGACTGGTTCCAGGAGTCTTCGGACGTGCGCTGGCGGCTTCAAATGAATTTTCGGTAAGTCCCCGAGGGCTGAGGAAGTGGGCGGAGGCGGAGGAATGGAGGTCATATTCTGGTAAGTGGCTTCCTGATGTTTTCTGACAAAGCTCGAAAGTTCTCCACCAAAGTTCCGGGGGGGGGGGGGGACGAAGGAGAGGGGTGAGGAGGAGGAGGGTTCCAAGGAGGCTTCGAGAAGGGGGAGGGAGGAGGGGGAGGAAGGAGGGGTGGCGATGTCCTGCTCAATCCCTCCCTCCATCAAAGGTTCAACTCGGTCCTCATGATCATGCGTAACATGCTCACCATGAATAAGGACGAGGACGATGACGACGACGGCTAAACAAGAAGAAGCACTCATCCTTCTCCGCTCATCCTTCTCCGCTGTACACACGCCAAGAAGCTTGTCACACTGCTTGTCAAACTGAAGCGTCCTCCTGCTGAAGCAGCAACGGGTTCTGGTAGTCTGGCACGGCCGCCGACAGCGTCGAGAAGCTCTCCAGGGTTGCCGCATCTGGGGAGAAAGCTTGTTCGAACACCTTTGCTCGACCAACATGTCTGTTTTCTCTTCGGAATGAATGAGCAGGAAAAGGGACAAGAGGAGAGAGAGAGAGAGAGAGAGAAAAGGGAGACAGAGAGACAGACAGACAGACAGACAGACAGACAGACAGACAGACAGACAGACAGACAGACAGACAGACAGACAGACAGTCTGGCAGGCAGGCAGGCAGGCAGGCAGGCAGGCAGACAGACAAACAGACGCAGGCAGGAACGGACGAGACTGACAGGCCGACTCACAGAGAGAGAGAGAGATTGAGAGAGAGGGCGAACAAACAAGCACACAGAAAGCGGGAGGAGGTACAGCGGGGGGTGGAGGGGGGGAATTACAGGAGAGGGATAGGAGAAGACGAGGGAAGCACGGAGCAGGGCAGAAGCGCGCCAATCTTGCCAGGGAGCCCTGCGGCCCGGGCGGCACAGGGGCGCAGGCAGGAGAACGCGCCCGCCCGACGAGAAGGTCTGGGCGTGGCGCACGGCGTTGCGCTTGTGCTCCTTCTCATTGTAGAACGGGAGCGGCGCGAAGTCTTGACTGCCGCGCGGGGGGGGGGAAGAAGAGCATGCGGACACGAGCACGTGTGAAGCACGCAGACGCGGCTGCACATGACGGAGCACAGCACAGCTGAATACACACATACATATCCATACACCTATATATATACACATATATATGTATGTATATCTATGTATACATATATACATACATACATACATACATACATACATACATACATACATACATACATACATACATACATACATACATACATGCATGCATACGTACGTACGTAAGTACGTACGTACGTACGTACGTATGTACGTGCGTAGACACATTAACACATACATGCACACATATACATACATATAGGGAGAGAGGGATGCGTATGTAGTGAGGGGACGGAACGGTCATTCATGGTCCCTGGGCGCGTGGCTGAAGTGGTGTTCCGCGGTGCGGATTGTTGCTGCTATTGCGTTGCTGGTGCGGTGCTGTTGTTGCGTTGTTGTCGTCATCGCCCGCGACCCGCCCGCGGCGACCCACCCCGCGACCCACCCTGCGACCCAACCAACGACCCACCTGGCGACCCACCCGCGACCCACCCGCGACCCACCCACACACTTTCACCGACGAACAATAGGAACCTGCAGCGGGCTCATTGTATAGCTTCACTTGATTAAAAGGAATAAAACAAAAAATGGAGAGAGGCAAAAAAGTGCAAACAACAAACAAAAACACACACAACAAAACAACAACAAAAAAACGCCTGCGGCAGGCCTCTTCAGGGCCTCGCAAATTGCCGACGACCCCGACACCCCCTCACTCTTATCCGCAATTGCGGGGTGCTACGTAATATGTGCGTGCACTTGTGTGCCAGCGTCAACCCAAAACAGTGACTTCCTGAAGACTGGATGTGCAAGCTATGTGGTGCAAGCTACGTGGTGCAAGCTATGTAGTGCAAGCTACGTGGTGCAAGGTACGTGGTATAAGCTGCTTGGTATGAGATATTGGTGTTAGCCGTGTGGTGCAAGAGATGTGATGCTAGCTGCGTCGTGCAAGCTATGTGGTGCAGGCTGTGATGCAAGATATGTGGTGCAGGCAATGCAGTGGCAGGTGTGTGGTGCGCGCTATGTGGGGCAAGCTACGCGGTGTGGGCCATGTGGTGCACGTTGTGGTGAAAACTATTTGATGCTAGCTATGTGGTGAAATACACGTGGTGTATGCTATGTGGTGCAAGCTATGTGGTGGAATGTGGTGATATGGGGTCGAAGAGATTCGGTCAGCTAGTCACGAGCCTTGTGCAGTATTTCGAGAGCGACTCCGCAGTACTGGAGGTGCTCCGGTAAATAATCTCCTCAAAACTGTAAAAATGTGCTTTACAAGGTGCCAAGCGTGCTCAGAATCGTGCGGCCAATCTTTCACCTCGAGAGTTCAAGGAGTGGATTGGCACCACTCAAGCAATTGGAGTTGCCCATCGCAGCATCGAGGATCCGTTGCCAAGTATCGAAGAGGTGCATAGTGGGAAACAATGCTATGCGCATCCAGTCGACATTATTGATCGTAAGGTTTCGCGGTGGCATGAGCTCTGGAAGTCATACACTTTGTGTTTTTAGGCGTTGCAAGATGCATGCGATAAAATTCGGGCTCAGGCCAGAGTCGAAGGCTTAGTACCGTTAGAAGTCAGTGACCTTGGGCGAGCGCCGGGCCGTATGAAGGCCAAAGCTGGGCTGGGGGTGGATCGCATGTCACCAGTAGACTTTCAACAGTTGCCAGGCGAGGCATTGCAAGAGCTGTGTCATGTGTATAACGTGATCGAGGAGGGCCTGTCCTGACCATGGCAGGTCATGGCCATCATCAGGCGCCCCCTCTGCAAGAAGTCGGAGGGGTGATCTAGTCATCGGACCCATCGCCATGATGTGTCGGGCATGGTCGATGGCACGGGAACATATCACCAAGCCATGGACAGCCGAACAGGAGCCCGCGTGTGAGGCTTTCATTCCTGCATTGACTGACGAGGTGCAGACAAGTCTGCAGTTCCACACAGGCGAGCCTATATATATGATCATAACATACATATAGATGCATTATGTTTACGATTCGGTTGAGTTCCCGTAGCTTGCCGAAGGCGCTCTACGGTTGGAGCTCCCACCAGTCATTCTTTTCCTCTAGATGCAGTTGTGCCTGTGTCGTCGAATGTTATCGCAGTTCAACTCATATTCTAAAATGTTTAGCCTACGAAGTCAGTGGTCCAGGGCTTATGGAATGGTGCCAGATTTGGGCGATGCATGACGTATTGGGTTATCATGAAACTCAGCACGCCTGTGTTTCTATGTCCGTTTTTGCGGAAGAGGCTCGCTCTCGCCCCGCAGATCAAAAAGTGTTTCTATGTCCGAACGCCTCTGGGTGAACGACTTATCGCTTCGCACGGCAGGATCGCGACAGCATGTGCGTAGGACGTTCGTTCGTGGAGTATGTTTGGCTGCTGAGTATTTCGCTCAGCGGCAGCTCAAGACTTCTCCAAAGAGTGTTATCACGTGTTCGGTACTTGAGGATGCCCGTGTCATCGTTTGGGGTCTCAAGCGTCAGTGCATGCATACGCCAGTTACGACGCAGACTTCGCACCCCGGAGTGGACTTGGCGGCGGGGCGAAGGCAGGCGAGAGACGCAGCTCGCCGGCGGGCATCGAAGTCAGGCACTCGGAATGCTGAGCTGCGCAGATTTGCACATGCTGCCTGGAGGTGTGGACCAGGGCGACGAAATCTGGACATGTCCACTGCTCCCTTGCCAGGCCGATCCTGAGCCCAGCAGCGGCGCATACGCCACGCCCGCCTGGCCTGGCCGGGAGGGCGCATACACACAGCTCCTGGGCTCAGCGTTGGGCATGGCCGGGGAGCAGCGCATGCGTATAGATTCCGTCACCCCATGGATTAAGTCGGGCGTGTCCACCCACAGCGGGATTTTCGACGAAAAATAAAAAAGACCCAAATAATACCCCAAAATGGTCAAAAAATACCCGAAAAATAGTCTCCAGACTACTTTTTGACTATTTGAATATTTTTGGGGGTATTTTTAATTTTTCGTCGAAAATCCCTCTGTAGGGGGACGGGCCCGACCTAACCCATGGATGGACGGACTGTGAATACTCAACGGCCATGGGCCGCAAGCAGCGCCCACCTGCGGCCACCTACGGCCACCTATTACCAGCCTGGAACATATCCCTATCCCTATGCTGGGCACCTCCTCATCACGATGCCAATCTTAGGGATTCCCTTATCTTTAGAGGGCAGATCCCTAAGATTGCCATCGCCTTATGGAGTGTCAATATTAGGGATAGGGATACGTTCGAGGCTGGTAAACCTATACAATTTCTAAAAACACGACGTCGGGGGTCTGGGTGGCCTCGTCGGCGGCCTCACTTTCGCGTGTGAGGTGGAAGTTAGATCTTCGCAGTGGCTGGCGCCACCTTGCCCGTGCCCGCCGCCCCCCGCTCGGACGGGAGCCGAGACCTGGAGCCTCCCCACGGGTGTTGCCAGAAGTGCCACTGTCGGGGATGGACAGACCCCCCTTAGTAAAACGTGGTTTAGCGAAAACAACGTGAGGTCCAAACCTAGCGGGCGCAAGCCTGGAAAATAACGGCCACGGCGCCCTCTCGAGAACCGAAAACGGACAAGTCACTAATCGACGTGTCACTGTTGGGGGTTCTGTCCACCCCCGACACTGGCCCAAGGTGCCCCCGAGCTTTTCGCTCCATGCTTGGGACCCCTGGGGGCCTCCGAGCCTCGTGAGGGGGTGCCTCTCCCTCGGCGACGTCTTTGGCCGCAGCCGCGGGCTCCTCCGGGCGAGGGCGGCGCACCGCGCGCCTCCGCTGGCGCGCTTTCAAGGCTCCTACAGGGGGATTTGGGACGAAAAAACAAAAAAGTACCCAAAAAATGCTCCAAACATGCCCAAAGATGCTCAAAAAATTGTCCCCTGGCTATTTTTTTAACTATTTTTGAATGTTCCCCCTGTAGAGGGACAGGCCCGACTTAAAGCTACCGGGGGGGACCACCAGAGCTCGCGCTGCACCGCGGCAGCGCCTGGAGTCACCGCCGACCCGTAGCGGAAGGACGCACGATAAGGATGCAAGGGCCTTGGAAGGCCACTTCGAGTTTGGACGCCCGAAATGGGTACGGAAAGAATGGGCACAATGCCCAACGGCAAATGCTGTCCCGAACCAACAGCGGCCGCTGTTGGGCAGGCGGCCTTCTGTCTCGAATGGACACAGGCCGCGGCGGCGCGGACAGCGAGTCATGCTCAGAATGAACAGGAACTGCTGTTGGGCATTGTACCCATTCTTTCCGTACCCATTTCGTTCGTGCAGAGGTCAGGATGCAAGGGCCTTGGAAGGCCACTTCGGAGCGTTTCAAGCGGGGCCCGGCCAACGAATGTGGCCAAGGATGGACCGAGGAGGCAAGGATACAAGGGTAGCCTTGGGAGAATTGCCCATCCTGACTATGCGGGTTGACTGTATGGTTCCAGGTTTGGCCTTCCGAGGCCGGCTTACGTTCGGGTGTCAAGAAGGCTTGGCCTCAGGATAGCCGATCTTCAGCAGGTTCCAGCTCAGCAGCGGCCGTGGCACATCCGTGGGCCGCCATCGGCGGTGGCCGCAAATCTTTTGCAGGCGGGGTGGAACCCGAAGTCAGTTGTGGAGTGGGAACTCACTAATGACATAAGCGTGGATCGGACGGCTTGGAAATTCGAGTCCGACTCTTTCACCTCGATGGATCAGGCAAAGCCTTTACTCTCCGACTTTGAGGAGACACTCAATCTGCAACTGTGGCGGTCAGCGGCAGAGCATTTCGACGGCGCTGGAGTGGAAGGTGGTGTTGACATGTTGAGCTATCGTGCATTCATTCGGAGCATCCAGCATACGAATCGCAGTAGAAAATTATCAGAAACAATGGTCAGCATTGCAGTGGGAGGCACCTGGACGGGAGCACGGCGGCAGGCAGCTAATCTCACGAAGTGGCAGCGGAGGACGACTGGAGTGCTGGGCA